AAGTCTTTGCACGGCTTGTAATTTGAATGTTTTTAGTCGCCCAGACTTGCTGCAGGTTGGCAGGAGGCATTTCCCAGCATCAGTCATCTCTAATACCCAGAAAAGAAACAGTAAAATTAGAAAAAAAAAATAATTCATTTCAAACGTTTAGGTGCAATATTCGCTACTGCTATTCAAACATAAATAAATAAAATAATAAAGGTCAAAGTTAATATTGACCTGACCTTTAGCACTAAACGTTGACCTGCAAATAAACAAATAACATCAGAAATGAATTCTACACACAAGAAAACCCTTAAAAAGAGGTATTACACACTATAGTAGGACGGGTGGGTCAAAATTTACATTTTCAAAATGACGTTTGGTGGCCATCTTGGATTATGCAAATTAGCAGAGTTGCCCAATGTTGCAATTTTGGCAACCAAGCTAAAATTGTTCTTTGGTCCCATATGAATGTAAATCAATAAAAAAACTTCATAGGAAACAAAATTTCTAGGTTCAAGAAATGACAAATCGACTATATTTAGAAAAATCTTCACCAGTATCATTGAAGCACGACTATCAAAATGGGCAAATGTTTTTGATATAATCCCAGAGACACAGGCTGGATTTAGGGAAGGCTATTCAACTATTGATCAAATATTTACATTATATGCCATAATTCAGAAACAGTTAGCCAGGAAAGGGGGGGGGAATTGTATTGCCTCTATATAGATTCCCAGAAGACATTCGACTCGGTTAACATGTATTTTATTATTTTTTTGACTGGCCAATAATAGTATCAACGGAAAAATGTATGTAATTTTACAAAGTATTTATAAAGATGTCAAATCATGTGAAGGAGGGGTTACTTCGAGATTCTTTGAATTGAAGAATGGGGTTCGACAAGGGTGCATATTACATTAATGAGCTACAAAGCATGTCGGATGACTCTGGGTATAGAGGAATACAATTGATCTCGAACGACATGTTAGAGTTGTTTTCATTATTGTATGCTGACGACATTGCTTTATTTTCAAATTCTGTTTTGGGCTTGAAAAGGCTATAAGTATATTGTATGAGTTTACAAACAAGTGGGATCGCAATATCAACTTAAATAAAACTAAAATTGTAGTTTACAGAAATGGGGGATATCTCAGTAAATATGAAAAGTGGACTTCGAGAACAAGCAAATTAGTACTGTTAGTTCATGCGAATACCTGGGGTTGGTAATGTCATGTAAATATTACCACAGAAAATTTAGCTATAAAAGGCAAAAAGAAGTTGATTGCAATCAAAAGATACTTAAGAAAAATGCAATGTTTTAAAGCAGACTTGTATTTTAAGATCTTTGACACTTTAATTCAATTTGTACTTACATATGGGTCTGAAATCTGGGGATATGGTCAATATCAACATTTAGAAAGTGTACATACATCTTATTGTAGGCAATACCTCGGTGTAGGTAAAAATGCTCTAACTTGTACAGTATTAGGACAGGACAGGATTGTGGGAGGCTACCCTTATTTTGTTACCATGTTAAAAGATGTGTGAAATATTGGTAAAAAATTACTAGCATGGATGAAAACAGATTTCCCCAAAAAGCTTACCGGATGCTACTTTCACTGGACGAAAAAGGACAAAGGTCACATGGGCCACAGAAATTAAAAAATTGCTATTTAAATATGGGTTTGGTTATGTCTGGTTTAATCAAGGGGTGAGGGACTCTGTTATGTTCTTGTACAAATTTTGTGAACGGGTCAAATATATTGGAATTACAGATTGGTATATAGACGTTTGTTCTGGAGAAAAAACGCAGTATTATAGGCAATAAAAAACAAATTTTGGGATTGAAAACTATGTGTCATTGCCACAATTAACATTGCGCAGAGCAATAGCAAGATTAAGATGTGCGTGCCATCCCTTAGAAATAGAAAGAGGTAGACATAATAATATCTCTAGGGAGGGCCGTATTTGTCATTTGTGCCTGCAAGAAATTGATGATGGATATCATTTTTTACTAAAATGTACTGCATGGGACACAATCAGGAAAAAGTATCTCTCAAATGAGACCCAACCTCCAAATTTGAATACTCTAGTACAACTATTAAGTTGCTCTAAAAGCCAAATCATTAACTCATTAGCTATATTTATTTATAAGTGTTTTTTTAATCAAAGATCAAATGAGAATAACCTAATAAGTTTGTATGTATATACATATTAATATCCCCATCACATTATATAGTGCTTATATTATCTATTGACACCCAGGCCTCTTCATCTATATTTTCATACATATTTTGTAATATAAATTTATTTCTTGTCAATAATTAATTTGTATGATTGTAATGGGCCGGAGGCCATTATACAATTAATAAATTATTATTATATTATTATAGTTTTCCTGATTATATTCTTACCCCCAAAGTTGGCTCATTTTGTTTAGCTACACCCTGGCAGCCATGTTTGGCTTATGGAACAGAGTCGATGTTGACATTTCTCTATTGTCAGTTCCTCTATCCTGTTAACTGGGTAGAGGATTATAACTAAGGTTACATGAATGGAATACCCACAGATGCATGTCCCTGTTCTCTAAGGTTTATGGTATAATTAGTAATCAATGCTTTATCAATTTGAGTTAAAGCGGGCGGTACTCACCTGCGCGCACACAATGGAATTTAGCCCTAAGCGACGATAACAACACACGCAAAGGCTCCTGGGTAGACGCTTGTTTGTAAACAATGACACTTTATGGCCATCTGACGCATGCGCAGGCGACGACTCCCCCGCTTTAAACCATTCAACAGAATCGTATATTTCGTCAATAACGAAAGCGGGAATGGGTTGGTTCTCGAAATTTGTTTTAATATAACACCCGCGTTCACTGCGCAATGGTTCAAGTCACGGTCTAATGTTTATGCATAATTCTTGTATAATCACAGGAGATATTGGTCATTATGATGCTGCAGGAAATTTCTTCGTAGTAGACAGATTAAAAGAACTCATTAAGTTCAAGGGCTTTCAGGTTTGATTTCAAATTAAAATCATTTTAAAATAAATCAATTAAAATTAGTTTATTTGAGTTGAAATTATTTTCTGCGAAGAAAGATTTTGATATGTAGGTGTATTTATAGGTTGCACCAGCGGAATTAGAAGATATATTATTGACCCATCCTGAAATACAAGACGCTGCTGTGATCGGTGTACCTGATGAGTATGCTGGTGAACTCCCTAAAGCAATTATTGTGGCAAAGACTGACACGCTTACGCCAGAAGATGTTGTTAGATTTATGGACGGTAAAGTGTTTCATCTTAATACGTTGTTTGAATTTTTAGTCCATTTAACATCATTCCATGATACCAGCATTCAATTTTGTTAGTACTTCATATAATTTCGTCAAAGCAGAATTAATGAGCCTTGGACACAATTATTGGTGAATAAGTTTACAATATATTTATTTTGTAATTTTGTACACAGGGCGTGTTGCTCATCACAAAAAACTTAGAGGCGGTGCTGAGATTTTAAAGGAACTTCCGAAGTCACAAAGTGGGAAGATATTACGAAGAATACTCAGAGATCGTGAAAAAGAATTGAAAAAGAACAATTAGTATCATAAATATTATACCAGTATTTAAACGTGTCGTAAACTTAGAAATGGTGGTAGAAATGTTAGCAATGCTTAATTATGTACATATTCGCAATATACCATGGATGTAGCAATGTTAAAACTAAACTAATAGCATCCAATTATTGGATAGACGAATGATGGATGGAAACTTTAGATATAGCTATCCCTACTTCTTTCATAGTGAGTGATTCTGATATGTTTAGTATTGGTAATTAGGACTAGAATTTGTTCGAACTAAAAATGTAGATCTCGTGGCGTTTACTGTAATCGCAGTATCTATAAATCTCAACTTTTTACACACGGTAATAGGAGAATAACAGCAAAGTAAACGTTAGAAGAATGATTGGACGGAACCACAGGATTTTAAACAACTTTTTTCTGATTCATCATATTGTCATAGTTAACCGTCCAGGACTGACCCAACTACTGAGCATTTAATCTGAACATTTAATGCAAACTTGTGTATTTCTATACACAAGCTAGTATTTGCAAAAAACAGGAAAAATGAATGATTGTTTAATATTACGATATTCGTATACGCGTTGAGCAAGTCTTTCAACCGACCGACCAGGGACATTCGGGTCGTACGATCATTCCCTTTCAATATATGTTACTGCATTATTGAAGAATGGTACACGCTTGGGGATGTTACAATTTAAATTCTAACATTCTAGTTAGGTCTGAGAGGGTGGACTTTTGACACCAATCTGATTACATGCTGACATAGCGCACAGCCATATTTTAAACATGTTTATTATATATAATCTGTATGGATTAGAATAAAAGTTCGAATCGTTATCGTTGTTTTCTTTGTTTGTTTTTTTATAAATTTGTATTCATGACGTGTACTTTAAATTCAGTTATGCAAATCTGTACTGTGTTTTGACAAGTGATATAATGAATTGCATGTACTATAAATGCACAGACAATATGCAAGATTCTAGAAGTTTGAAGGAAGTTAGCGCTGGGTGAACATGAGTCTGACAGCTCTGAGATGAGTGCCCATTCTAGCATTCCTACTCGACAAAACATGCCGATACAGCGACACAGCGATTTAAAAAAACGGTATTATTCAACAAATGTTGCCAGAAAAAAAATGTATGTATGTATGATTAATGATGTAGAACAGATCATGAATAGCACCATCAAGTCATCGGGGTTCATGTGGCTGTCTACTGTAATGATATCACAAGAAAGAAACTGACAAAACCAGCATCTGTACTATACGTCATTATCTATTTCTGAAACGCTTTCTCATTAATTATTACGAGCTGCCATTGTTCACACCAACCACACATTCGGAATTTACCACCTACAGCTACGTGCATAATATTTTTAACCACCACTCCAGTCACAAAATGCTACAACAGCCAATAACTATAAAAAAATACAAAAGCTCACGATACATTTTCGATACATTGGCCGTACGTAATACAAAACTTACAACTTACAACAACATGAGTAACTAACAATACTAAATTCATACTAACCTTATCACCAATGACAGCTGTTAACACCACAATGCCAGCCACAGCTATAAGTCACAATTGAGACACGAATCACGAGTAGCCAACGTATTTCGCAATGAACTCCAACTCCAAGTGGAAACTACGCTCACATAAGCGTTTTGCTTTTTAAATAACTACAACTCTCGTCACCGATATAATTAGATTGACCTCAATTGCTATTTTTAAAACACTATGAAATGGGACAGTTGGTGCTAAATACACGACGACACGAATTCATCAAATTCATGTAGGATATTTGATGTTTCGATTGAAACTCTAGGGCGTTACTCGATTATGTCCGTTCCACAGTAGTCCAAATTGGCTTAAAAGGATTAGTTCAAATTTATTTATATTTAAAACTGAAGCTGTGAAAGATGAAGCGACTTAGGTGGTGTATAATAAATATAGATTCACTATGTAAAATGTTTTCTTGGCGGAACTAAGACCACAATACATTCCAAACTAAGGATTTTAATGCTAAGGGAAGGGTGGAGTAACTTCATTACCGGAACAACCCATTAAACAAATGTACCCCACTTCCTCACTTGGTTATCAGTTTGTGATCAGGACATTAGTCTTATTTAATTAGGTATAAAGAGTGTTGTCTTATGCCACGTAACAATGTGTAAACAAATGTGTACTGACTGGAACTACTTTTAGACATCGATTGACCTGCCAGTTTAGAAAATCACATGGAGTTCGCGTTTGTGTTCTATAGCACGACCTTACAGTAATCACACACATTTTTCGCGATCATTTAAAATAAGCCTTAGAACAATATAAACGGAAAAGAGTACAAGTATTTTACTGTCTCTCAGTTACAGGAGTTTTCTGGCGTTCGTTTCGACCACCGTGGAAAAGTCACTTCCGTGTTACTGTCTGCGTGGATTTGTCGTACTTTGGCGACTGCCCATCGATTCGCTCCATCAACTGATGATGTCTCCCCGTTCATATGTGAAACTGGCCATACTGATACAATTACAGGAAAAATTGACAAATCGTCTACAAAGTTCGACGAAATGCCGTAACTGAAAATTCAACTGGACACTAGTTGTTTTTATAAGACTGCATAAAAGTCACGTTTGCATATCCCTATACGTAAGAGCGAAGTGAAGAGGCCGTTCCAGATTGAATTCTCATGTTAAAATATGACGATAAAGACAATTCCACGGAGCTCTAAACTAAATAACATGTTCAACAGTATATGTTTATTTTCATTATTATAGAGTATATAAAGAACTCATCGTGAAAAAAAAAAAGTTCCACGCGTAAGAAAGTATTTATGAGTACTTCGTCTTAGCTTATGTAACTTTTTACGACCCATATTCAAAACAAGTAAACAAAGTCCACTTGACGTCCAGAATTTATCGCACCCGAGTAACTGCCTGGGCAACTCTGTTTTTTTTTTGTGGCTAGGTTATTAGCGTGTTGTTCCCGTAATGTCTAAAAATAGAAGGTTTTGTATTTTCATTATTTCTAGTGATCCCGGGGGGGTCACTCAATATTAAAACCTTACACCATGTGCGTTCTTGCTAAAAAAATATTAGGCCCCTAGGGCTGTGGCAGCACATTGACAAACCATACCCCTTATTGCGGACGCAATGTAAATTTAGTACCCCCTAAAGCAGACATATTGAAGAAAAAATCTCCCCCTATTTCAGAGATATTTTAAGAATATCCTACCCCCCTATTGCGAGGATTCTCTGCCGTTTTTTGCACTCAAGTGGATTGTGATCAACTCAAACAAGTTACTGTGTATGCAACTCCTGTTGGTGTCATTCGTTGTTTGATGAAGAAAGATGAGAACTATTGACATGAGTGTGAATATGATCATTTATTTGATAGTTTAAAACACAATGCACACAACTTTGCCAGGATTCTTATTCCATCAGACACAACTACGCAATTTTATGTTCAGCTCCGAGTGACTTTGGCATGAATACAGGGCAGAACACCCAGAAAAAAGCAGGAGCTGAATGCGAATGAGGCCGAGGCGCGAAAGCAATTTCGGAAGTGTGGATGACTCGGGGGATGACTTTCTGTATGCGGTTTATTGTTATCGACGAACCGAAACAAAACGGGATAACACACATAATGTAAATTAAACTGTAATCAGTGAAAATGGGTTTTATACTCACAATATACACACAATATTTGCTGCAAATATTAATATTTAATACGCATATGACTCGTTTCGCTAATTACAGATAATCGAAAATCTGTGATCAGCGAAACATGGGTCTGACACGTACAATATTTACAACTGTCGGACGACACTTGACAAGTATATTTACCTTTCCGTTGTGAAAATGCATTGAAATCGCTCATTTTCACCATTCCGGACCCGGATCTCAGTTATGCATGGACGGATTTTGTTCAAATTTGGTACATACATTAAACATAATAGGACCTTGATGCACGTCTTTTTTTTCGGATCAATAAATAAATAAAAATACTGGTCAAGTTTCGTCTCCGGCCGGGCGGTGGTTTATTGCTTAAATATTATTTTCAGCAACATTTTGTAAATAATGTGCGTATAAGACCCATTTTCACTGAATACAGTTTAATTTATATTATGTGTTTTATCCCGTTTCGTTTCGTTTCGTTTCGTTTTGTTTCGTTTATTTGATTACAATAAGCCTCCGTATGCTCGTATTGAAAGTGGCGGGAATGTCCCGGTGGGAAAGTTCAAGTGGACGTTTGCTGCCTGGTCCGGGCTATGGGTGCGCCAATTCGGGGCCTAGGGCGGTGTATGGGAGTGGTTGTTGCAAGAGGGGGGCTACAACGGGCGCAGCAGCCCTGTGAGTTTATTTCTGGGGGCCTATTGCAGACATTAGCATTTTAAAGGGGGCCTATTTGCTTCCCGCGCGGGCCCGCTTTAGAAGGTGAAAAACACCTCGCTTTCCCGCTAAACTTGGAACGCACATGGGGTAGTAACAGCATATAGAGTGACCCCCCTCCCGGGGACAACATACTACTTGTTTGTGCTATGCTTCCCTTGCACAATTCATCCGCACACTGGCTTGGCAGTTTTTCAAGAAGGCTTACATAATGCGTCTTGTACTAGGCTAATGCTTCTGCCAATATTCACTTTCAGCGATTGCTGCTTGGAGTAAAACTTGAAGAAAGACATTATTTTGTGAAATAGGAAAGCTATTTACTATAATAGTATTATTGACGGGTCACAATAATTTTCATGTAACTTGTCCCAAATTAGGAAATGAAGTTGAAATTACAATATATGATCGATTTTTTTATCTATTAAAATGGGGATCCCTCTCTAATATTGGTGGCTGGGTTGACTAGTTCATGTGATGTCTCGCTTTCTGTGAATGCCACTCGCCCAAACCTTTAAATTATGTTCATGAGGTGTACGAGCTGAGATTCGAATTTCCAAATAGTGATTAAAGTGAGTACAAAAACTGAGAAAAATATTTACACAGGGGAAATATGTCAATAGACAGTGTGAGATTTCTGGTATCGAAGCGTTTTGCAAATTATAAACTTTGTGACCGCTACTATGAGCATCTGGACGAATTTTGTTCGGTGGCACATTTTGAACATTCTTTTCGAAATAGTTCATTTAACCATTAAGACTTTAGCGAGAAGACAAATTCTTATCTCTTCCTAATACTGTTATAGATGATTTTTTTTATATATGAAATCTTCTGGTTGCAAATATGTATCACATGTTTTTACTAAGATGAGTAAACCATTCTAAACACACACACTTGTGAGCGTTGCTGCAGTTTAGCAGCTCTTATTGGCCGCTTAAGCTATTTTGATTTTACGTTGCGACCATCTCTGGTCGCCCGCAACGTATACCACGACCAAGAGAGCTACATAAACGGCAGCAATTGTGAGCGATGATCATATTTAAGCTGGATATTTAAATTGAAGCGGGCATATTGAAAGATCACTATCGGAATTAACAGGTCAAATGTGTTCGACTACACAGTGATTCACAGAGAAGAATATTGTATCACGATTGAATGCCGGTTAACAGATGGACAGTTAACACCATGGACCAATTGACCCTGATACAGCAAGCACTCATATTTTAACCACACTGATATGCTATGTGTGCTGTTTAATTATGTCGACATTGTAATTCTCCCATAAACCAAACACTCTAAATTGTACTAAAATGTTACATCTATCTAAATAAAAGAAATGCTCCACTAATCAATTATAACGAAGACGCTTCACACGCCAACTGTGGATGATTGAACACAGGATTCATTTAAAATATATTTACTAAAGGCTTATACTTATATATTAGTACTGGTAGTGTGCGACAATAATTTATTGTGGTCAATGTGTAATACTTAATGATGACAATATCTAAATTTATGGCAGTAATATGACCTCATTAAAAATATCCAACTGCTAATTGAGTTATCTTTTATACAAAAAGAGAAAAAGTACAAAATACCATTGTCGTTATACTAAAACCATATGAACCGGAACTCATGCCACTGAATAAATATATGGAGTTCATATATGGGTTTTGGTAATCACAAAAAAATGATATGCTAATGAACAAATTATGATAAATTAAATATGCAAAATAACTACACGAGAATAAATACTCACGATGATTTTCCCGGTAACATAGCTTTCATTATTTTTACGCTCACATAATAATTGAATTGAATACACTAAAACGAACAAGAGACTACAAAATACAATAAAAACAAATACAACTAGTATCGTATTCAGGTCATACAATCATCATAACGCGTATGAAGTTACATATTATTTATTGTGATTTCGGCAAGGTGCAATTTTATAAACAGAAAAAGTAATTCCAACACTACGCTACGCTATCACGCCACGCCACACCACACCGCACTATCACGCCACGCCACGCTATGCCACGCTACGCCACACTACACTACACTGCACGGCACTGCACAACACCACACTGCACCACACTACACTACACTACACTGGGTAAAAAGCTTATATAATGTTTTAGTACTAAAAGTCGATAACCCCATTGGGGCATTTTAGCGATTGCTGAAAAAACAAAAAAACACCATCTGTAGAACTAGATCGATGAAAGCATATGTCAGAACTGTATTTCTTCGGTAAGTTTTGTTTGAAACAAATAATCTACTACTGGATGGAAAAATTACTCCCACCACACCAACTGTGGAACTATTTCTATTTGTACTCGTAGAGACACAGAGTAGATTTCTGATGGTATCAGGTGATGTTGTTGGATACTTGGATAACAAAAATCTCAGTTGCCAATTGCTGGAAAGCTTTTAGACCGTAATTGGAACAGTGTTGAATTGATGTGGTCTTGTGACATTATTGACAGATTGTGTAGATGGCGTATCCCTTTTCCTACTCATTTCACTCAGTTAAGTCTCAATTCACTGTCACTTTGACATTTGATGTAGATGCTATTACTGCATAAATCAATGGGAATGCGGCACATATACACACACACCCAAGTTTACCCACAATATTGCATATGAATGGGCATTCTAGTTGATACATCACATACTTGTAGAGTTTGATGTTGCTGGCCGATGCTGAACAGTATCATCAGTGGCTCTTCACACATAAGATTAACAGGTTGTTTGCCAAGCTCTCGGTGACTAGTCCGTCATTGTCTGATTGAAGCTTTTACCACGATGTTGTATCCGCCACAACGTTTTGAACCCCTACCAAGTGACACGATTCTAACTTGACCCTCCACCAGCTTGTTTAACGCTGGGGATCTCATTCCTCTGATTTGTACTGTAAGTCACAGTGAACTAAGTCTCTCTTGTTCTGAAACTCGCCCTCGTAATGGATTAGCATATTCAGTATGTTTATATAATGACTTTCTGTTGCTGTCACCCCTTCTAGACTGTTAAGTTCATGAGTTGGGCTCCTAAATTGTATATGCAGACACAAATTCGATTCAACATATTTAAAAATATTTAAAAGTTGAGATAAAATATGCAAATTTCGAATACACAAGGAACCATGACACGATGGCCGGCCGCGCCACCGTGACGTGCTCACGGAAAAAGGCGAATTTAAAATACCTGACCACCACAGGTGGTACATGGTACACAAGCTTCATGTTCCCTCAGAGGAGGATCTCTTTTTACAAAAGGCAAGTATGTTATGGTTTGGTAAGTCTGAACATATTATAGTAAAATGAATTGCTCCTGACTCGACACAGCATACACATGATTCAGCAACAACGTCATTTCGTGTCGTTGAAATTGATTACCAATTCATCGTTTACAATTATGTACACATACGACACAGTTTTTAACAAGTGATTCGTAATATAGTGGACATATAAATGACGCAATAACATAATACTCTACTCATAATTCTTTGCTGAAGAATCAAAATGGTGGACTACATAATTTGATGAAATGTTGAATATCCAGAGATTTGAATGAAAAGTGATAAAGAAAAACTGTAAATTGCACGTTCTAACATTTGCCGAGCTCTTTTATCTGGGAGTAATATGTTGTTAGCCTTGACTTTTCCTTTAATAAAACAAAATAATACAATAACACATTATACTCCACTTACGTTATTTCTTTCCTCACCATACTAATACGTCATACGCTAACCCCCATCTGTTGTCCAATCGTATATGTTATATATTTCCATAATAATTCACCACTAGAGATTAGAAGCATTCAAATATGTGATCTATAGGAATAAAATAAAGGCCTTACAAATCAACGGTGTCGCTAAAGACGAATCACACGCCAAATGTGTTATTGAATGATTGGACGTAGAATTCATTAATATGTATTTACTAAATGCTGTGCTGTAAAAGTAGATATATATTGATGCTGGTAGTGTAGCAATGCTGGTAGTGTACGAAAATAATTTATTGAGGTCAGCGTGTAGCTCCTAATAATGACAATATTTGAATTTATGCCAGTAATATGACCTCATTAAACATATCCAGTGCTAATTATTCTTTTTATGAAATGAATAAAAAAATACGAGTCATTGTGCAAAGTGTTGTTATATTAACACCATGTGAACTGGTAACCTGTGATTACTGAATATATGTAGGAAATCCACAAATCTTGCGGGCTTTCGCGATCACCAGAAATTTAAAAAAATTAATGCTAATGATAAATAGTAATATTTTAAATATATAACAACAACAAAAAAAAAATACACGGAAATATAATGAAAAACAAATAAACTACGATCGTAATTTATTCAGGTCACATTGTCATCAAGTATCAAGGTACATAATATTTGTGATTTCGGTGAGTAGAAACACCGTTTTGATAGTTGAATTGTTTGAATCTAGTTCAATGACAAACTAAATGAACTAATGAATGACTGGCTGATATGCTACATATACTACAATGTAAATGCGGATATTATATGCATTGTACTTGTCTCAGGCAGTATAGTATCGATAGGTTGGAAACAATAACGTAACAGCAAGCAATATTCGTAGTCACGGAGTGCATGCCATGAATATTAGTCCCAGTCAGTTCAGTCACATAGCACAGCGTCCTCCTAAAAAAAACGAAGTATAAAATATGTTGGCAGGTGACACAAGGTATTTTTTATAATTGTACGTGTATAATATTAAAGGTCGTGGCCGTAGCGTTGCGCATGCGCGAGATATAGGTTTCATTTGAACAAAGACTGTTGCGCAGACCGTTACACGTATTTATATTTTATCATAAATTATGAAATGTTACCAACACACTAGTTCTGTCAGCACAGAAGTGAAACTCGATCGGTTGTAATGACATAGCACTTACGGATATGACAAATGAATGGTTTTCTTTTAGTGCAACATTCATCATCCAGTTTAAATTGTGGATTGGTACGCGGCGACTCCCTGCAATATAAATAGTATTATAACCTTGCCCGTGTTGAAAAATAATAGTTTTGACCAAAAATGAAAATGCATAATGAGAACAATAGAAACTACATATAAAATAAATTGTTTGTTTTTTTTGGGGGGGGGGGTTAATACAGCATGACTGTACTATAGTTTGTTGTTACTCCAAACATTAAAATAAACTGCACAAGAGTATTTGAATGTAAACCCATGTGTTTTCGATATCAACCCTCCAATAACACATCACCCATCGGCAATTTGAATGGTCCAATTTGTTCTGTTCTGCTATTGATGTGACTAAAAATATATATTTTTGTTGTAATAACTGCTGTAATATGTGATAAACAGACACTCGCTGATGTTTTTCTCCCAACCTTAACTTCGGAAGCGCATGGGATTCATTTCTGAGCTGTAAAACACATGTTAACGCTTTACCTTCCTACGGGTGAATTTGTCATTATTGTAAAAATATACGTTTCATATTAGGAAAACTACAAATTATATAAAGTTATTGTTTTTTTTAGGTCACCAACAGCAAGTCAATCTCAAAGTCTGAAGATTATCATCTATTTCATCTTTACACATTTAGACAATCAATCCCGCACGATATACCGAGATCAACTGAATCTCGTCAAATTTTAATCAAATACAATCAATGACAGAGGTGTCAATTTGGAATTACTGCGACGTAATTTACTTATAATTGCCATTTTAATGAAATCGACGTAGGCCATCCGAAAATATCTATCCCAAGAACTTTTACGACCCACAGAGTGTCCACAATATCACGACCGGAAGCGATTATTTATTCGTCAATGGTATAGTAAATAATATAGTTTACCAGAGCTGACAGCAATCTTGGTCATGTCCTACGTCATCGCAGTTTTTAATGATCCTGTTGTTCGGATTTTTTGATTGCCACATCTCACTCGATAGTGAAAAATCTTCCCCATTCGTCCACATGAAAGTTCCTTCAATTTCCCGATCATGGCAACCAATCCAATAACCATGTCTCGGTGGATTATTGAACGGCTCCGTTTTCATCAAGAAGGTTCGCAGTGTGTTACGAAAGACTTTTTTCTCCACGATCGCCAATGACGCCTCGAACCCATCAACGCTGTAAAGATCTCTACAGTAGTCATCGGCAGATTTCCATGACAAAAAAGGACTCAGGAATACTTTAAATAAGTCGTCTTCAACACAAAATTCGTCTGAAAAGTTTGTAGAAAAGCTGTAGCATTAAGTGTATATATTGCGCATATATGCCGTTATGGCAGCAAAAATACGAAGTACGCCACCAAGCGGTGACATAATTTACAGAAAAATACGTGCATCTCATTTTCAAATTCAGATTATCGCCATATCTAGATCTCGTTTGGAGACGGTACTTGTTTTAGCCCATCAAATAATGTTTTAATCTATGACGTCGTTGCGTCCACTAGATACATAGGTCACAGAATAGAAGAAGATCATCCATTGCAGAAATGACAAAATTGTAAAACCTGGTGTACTCCATGCATTCTAGTTTATGTCACTTCACACAGAGTTAACTACATATTTAATACTTTATTCATTCGTTATTTCATTTATCCAATTCATCTCTCGTGATTTTATTATTATTTTCGTAATTCATCTAATTATGGTAAAATATCTTGTAACCAATTTTGACTATCGCATACAAATCGAGAATAACCAATTACATATTGCATAACAAACCCTTTTATAATCTGAATCATATCAAAGCAACATTAAATATGTCGAATTGTCTCTTTTGACTTATAATAAATGTTAAACATTAATTTTCTTTTGTGGATGCAAATCAGGCGTGATAACAAACGACCACCAAATATCAATAAGTGACATCTGATTGACCAACCCACACTGCATCGTTCCCTTTCACAAAAACATTTTACAACATAGAGTCGCCGTAGAGGGAGCCGTGTAGACAAGTACTAAAACATACATGAATTCATACACTGTTTCACAGAAACAATACAATAACAGATTACAATACAAATCACCCCTACCTGCAGCAGAGTCATTATATCCTCCTTTCTGAATATCACACGGACAGAACACGCGTACCTCGTAGTTCTGACATAAATTATAGTTATCGTCATGGAAACATATCAAACCAAATGATAAATGACATTGTAGAGTTTGTGATGTCTGGTCCCACGGAGTGTACGGCTCCACTGCAGTACGACACTCTATCTCAGAAGGCGAGTCACAAATTTGATAATTTAGACGAAGGTCTTCTATCAATTCGAATTCGCCAACTGCTTCAAAGTCAACCAGACCGCCATTTTCGTCGTCCATCCAGTCAGTCCATACATCGCAGGCTGGTGAATTGACAAATGGATTGTTATGACGATTTGTTTCAATATGAGTGGTCGTGTAGTTATTCAACTCCACGGATACTCTAAATACGTGTCTCATTCGTTACAAATCCAAACTGAACCTCGAGTTATCACGAATTCAATTGTGTTTCGAAATGTTTATCGATCGAACGTGTTCTGGTTGATATACTTAAATCAATCGAAATTTTATTATTCTAATTGATTTCGATGCATATGCGAATTACCTACGGATATTAAATAATACCGAATATCATTGCATTCAACGTTCAAAAATGGTATTATATAAAAGCGACCCATTCCTAGTTTTATTTTCAGCAAAGAGAAAAGAAGAGCGAGAGATCAAACAGCGTTTTCCCATCAACGCAGTGACTTTTACAGTTAGTACAGCTATGTTGACAATCCAGCATTCAATTCGACCATACAACTGATCTTGCCGATCTGTTCGAAGTAAACGTTGATTGATGTTGCTAGGATTAATACTTTTTATATCTTTCATCTTGCAATCCTGTGTGATATTTAAAAGGGTCGTAGTTACTCTAAATTTCCCGATACCAATCTTTGCTAATTAGGAAAATATCACTCAGGGGAACATATAAAACTATAGATTAGAAAAATATCAAAACGCTAAGTACAAAATGGCTTTATCTTCATTCCGGGTTTTAATGTACAACATTCGGGAAAAATGAGCCCCGACATGCGGACTGCGAATGGATTGTCGATAGTATATTTATAGAATTATTTGATTGTAGTTTATGGTAAATATCTCGAATCTCAGATCAATTTGCTACAATAAATTTAATTTAATAAACCAGAAATACATATTACAAAACACTATAAAACAAATATATAATTCATATTACCTTCATCTGCAGCATATGCCTGTAATAATAATTTAAACACGTATGATTTAATATATATATACAACTATAAATACACTACTGAATTTCCACTACTGAATGTTACCTAAGAAAGAGATTAGATAAAACATTTGGTGCGCCACATGGTTGAATGGTCACCTAATGTGAGCTAACTATACAATGCGAAACAGTATGCGATATATAGAAACATCTAAACTACGGGTACTAATACTGTCTGGGTCGTTTTAGTAGTTTTGACTAGTCTGTTCGTATGGTGTACATTCTGGGTACCTGTCATCACCGCGGCGACATTCGTGATTAGTCTTGGAGACCTGTTATATAGTAAACTGTATTTAGACTTAACTAAATATATTGATATTCGGACGAAAATATATAAATATATATATTTATTTTTCATTGTACATAAGAGAATCTTCGGAGGAAAACTCATACATTTCGAGCCATAGTCTGTTAAGGGCTAAATTTAAACACATTAGTTGGATGTATTAATGTGTAATAAATTGATACTATATGAAAAATAATAAATTACTTTTTTTGAAGATCAAAAATAAATTTTTTAAATTAGCTTTGACACTTGCAATTGCAATTGTTTTTCAAAACAAAAATTATAACAGTAAATATAGTTAGCAAATTTATAAAGTCGAACAAAATAAATCATTAGTTATCTTCCCTTGGAGATGATCTTTCAATACAACGAAGTTTGTATATGGAATTCAAAGAAAAATTTCGCTTGATTTAAGTATACTTACCTGTTGCAATACGATTAACCAGCATAGCCATTCAAACATCAGTGGTATCCTAATTTTCATTTTTCTTGGACATGATGTGCCGTAGATGACAAAGTGTATTCATTTTATCAACGTGCATTCCCCTCATCGAATAAGTAATTTGTAATATACGATTATTATCATATGATTAAAAAATGTGTAAAATAAACACGCATTGCGTGTCGAGACATATATTATACTTATTGAGTTTGCTTCAATAATTATACTAGTATAGGAAATCAGTGATTATAACCTTGACAAACTGAAAATTCATAAAAGAACACTGAAAACTAATTAGATTTGACGTGGTATAATAAACCTGATTCATTATAGAAGATACCTAGGATATTTTCTCTTTTTGCGGCAAAGTAATAATACACCCTTGGCTTTCAAGTACACGAGTCAATTTACTTTGAAGACTAAATTTTGAAAAGGGTAATTATTACATAGTGAAATTATCCATTTACTTCAAATATTTTTTATTTTGTATGTTGAATTATTCAATGTAAATGTTATTAATACCAGCATGTTGGTACATCTAATATGCGGTTACCATAGTCATTGAATGTAATAGGCATATTGTCTGAAGTTCCCAGGACATCGCTGATACGTACGCAGATCGACTTCGTTATTTAGTATGTACATCCGTACGGATTGGAAGAGTCCAATTTATTTACCAATCAATTAATGGTAGTGTGTGTGGAAAATTCAGTGACACGTTTTACAAATGCTAGATTAATTGAGTCGACATATTGGACTATTATAAATGAGAATACCCTGAATTTATTTAATTTGTAATCAATTGTACTCCCGACGAAAAAAAATTATTAATAAGTTGCCCGACAATTGGCCTTTATGGCTGAATATTTAGAAGTTATTAGAAGGCAGTCTTTATCATATCGTGTCGTATTGCCAAATGATTGGGGCATTGGGACAAGTCACCAAGCGACGAGTTATAATATAAGGTTATAACGAAGAAACCTCAAAGTATGCATGAAGACAGTACAGCGGCAGTATCGACCGACGCGCAGCGGAGGTCGATGCGACAGGGTACTGTTTCAGTCATAATATTGATAATATTGATGATGCCGAAGGCTCTGGCATCATCAATATTATGGTCATGACCAACAGCCCGAGGGCAGACAACATATCGTGATATTGCCCGAATAACCATGTGTTATTTATTTTATCACATCGAACAGACATCCACCATGCACAAATACATCTACCATAGATCACTCACACCCACTCTCCCACGAAATAACAACGCTTATATTTGAAGTATGCAATATTGTATTTTATGCATTATAACAAGTGCAACATTACATATATAATAACAATATCATACATACATTGTTTGCTAAAAAAACTACAAAAAACACACAGTAAACGCTATTTTCAGCCACGGATACTAAAAGTTAACCACTCAATTTATCAAGTATAACATTTTTGAAATAAATTGAGAGAAATTCTCAAAATGTATTTTAACCACTCGCCAGATAAAAATGTCAGAGTGCAGTAGAAGTGTTTGAAATTACTTTCTCACGAACATAACAAACCAGTCACACAGCTTAGGCCGTTTTCGGTTAGCATCGGCGTGGAACTTGAACGTCTAGAAATGCTCACAGCGTAGAACGCGCTTCATATAAAGAATACCCTAAACATCAAAACAGAGTATCTTACTCAATATTCATTCTGGCACGTTGGCTGTCTATTTCGGATGGCCAAAGTTCCTTCAAAACCTTGGTAGCAACCCCGAAAGCAACAACGGCCGGGGAAGCATCAATGCCGCGAACGACAATTTTTTATGCGCAGTATCGTTGCGCAGTAGTTTCAGTGACGTCATTCTTGTGATATACCCATGTAATATCCACTTGGCGGGCAATATACCATGTAATATCCATCTTTATTCAATGTCATATGACCAAGTTTCAACCAATCATAGCAGGCGTAACAGTAGTGAGATGTGATAATAGCATGTAGAATAACACGGCGCGATATTACGCGGTGACGTTTATTTACCTATATACAACATTGGATACGGTTTAATTGATCTGCAACAAACTGTCTAAATACAATAAGAAAGAGATGCAATTGGCGATTTGAAAGTCCGGAAATAGAAATATGTTTTTTTATCAAGTTACCAGCGTTACCATGTGTAAACCATAAACTCAAAGCAGTTCCAACTCCTTATATAGGGTTGGAAAAACATCTATGTAATTTTTTGAAACCTCACTGAAAAAAATACCTTACTCATGTACTCTTTGTTTGTAAATAGTGATAAAAATGTTCATAAACAATGTTGGGCCACTGTGTGGAGTCAGACGTTACTATTGCGTGTGTGTGAATATCACGTTCTGTCACATCGTGCCATTGTATGTGAGATGACAGTCCGTACACGTATGACATGAAAGTAATAACCACGTTAATTCACGAATCCACTGTTTTATTAATATGTTATGTACTGAATATATGAAATCCTCAAGTTTCTTGCACAGAGTCTAATTATTCTGAATCTTGCCATTGAACTAAGCCTCTTATCAATCGCGTCTATCGCAATATTTTTTTTTCAAATGTGTTTTATTTATTCCCTTCAACTCGCAAATTACTAGAGGCAGAAAAAGTGTAAATAATGAGCACCTATTCATTATGTACGAGTCAGTTTAAAATGCTCCGAATACAATTTACTATTATATTGAGTTATGTATAATCAAAGATTTCAAAAATTAGTTGAGAGTAAAGCAAGTTAATTCAGTCGAAAAAAAGTCACAATCGATGACCTTATATAATATTATGTTGCTGAAGTTATCGTGATTAACGTGTATGTAAGCTAATGATCTGCTGCAGCTCGGGACTCGGATATCATTGGCCAGTTTGAAAATACCTTATTTGCATATTAAAATTTGAAGAAAAAAAATTGTAGGGTTGTATGTGAAAGCCATGATAGGGAAAGTTGGGGGAAAAAATCATTCCAGCCCAAATGTAATTTAACATGCCCCCCCCCAAATAACTGCAATGACACAAAGAGGGTATAAACAATTGAAATGAGGAAGAGACAGTAGGTGGGGACGTTTAGAGCTATGGGTGAGGTGGTTGTTGCAGACGTCAGGTACACTATTTGTAGTACTCCTCTTACTGGTTATGTTTTTATTATAATTGACTTTGATTTAGGTTATTTTAGTCACCTGTGTATGTTCGACAGTAGCCATGCTTAACATTATTGTTTCGATAGTTTTGTTTTTGGTTCCAAATACAACTGGGACACCACCAGTTATAATCTGTTAATTAAAGTCACAGCTTTATACATACCCACTTCATTTATTTGTTTGGAATGGATTTTGTCAAATTCATCTTTTCATCTGGTTGAACAGGTTGAACGTGGTTGAACGAGGTTGAATGATGATGAATTGGATTTTGTCAAATTCATCTTTTCATTTGGTTGAACAGGTTGAACGTGGTTGAACGAGGTTGAACGAGTTTGGAATGGATTTTGTCAAATTCATCTTTTCATCTGGTTGAACAGGTTGAACGTGGTTGAACGAGGTTGAACGAGGTTGAACAAAGATGAAAAACAGAAAAAATCAGAAAGAAGTCAAAATGTAGTATGCTTGGTGAATACTTGATTGTAACTATACTGCCATTAATTATAATGCCTAACATTTAATGGCATAACATATAGACCTGAAGGATGAAATGATGTATGACAACATTAAAGTCAAAAAACAAGCAGCCTCTCAACTGTGATAGCTCTGCTGTTAGCAACACACATTTTAATTAAAGAATTGAAGATATCATCACAAAATGAACAAATCTGACAGAGGCTCGCCTGTAGTACCTATATGTATAATATCAAAGCAATCTGAATGGCATGAAATAAAAAAAATCTAAGGTACATATCAGACTTTCAAGAAGAAGTCGAAAAAGTAAGTCCCTGGACCATTGTCTGCCGGGGGCTAAAAATACACATTGCAGGGAAAGAATTAGTACTACACAAAATGTTATAATCTTAGTTTTAAATGGTATTTGCTGCCCCAATGAAAGTTATCTCCAGTAGAAGTGCATATAAACTATTAATGTATAATGGATCATTTAAATATTTTTTTTTTCTTTTGTTGTCATTGACGTAAGCACATGGGCTATTAATACGTAATACATAAATTTTAGTTCTAGATAGTGAAGGCTCATGTAAGTCAATAGGCGAGTCAATGAGTTAATCCAGATTT